TAATAATAATAAAAAAAAAAAAACGAGTTTCAAAAGGGCATTTTCTTTGATAGAGGGCAAACTTCCTAGTGCTTTAGCACCACCTAGTGTCTACTGTATGTGTGCACGCCCCTGATAACATAACTGAGAGAACAAACTTCATGTCACTGTCAATGCAACCCATTCTGGAAATACCCACTTGGAAGCGCAAAATGGTTTAGTCTGTCCGACAACAATTGCTGACAAGTGTAACATCAGTGAGCACAGATTGAGTGACCTGGGGGCAAGACAATGTGCTCCCCAAAAAGCATAAAAAGAAGGGAGAAGGAAAAAGAAAGCAGAAAGAGCAGGCAGCTGTTGACTGCTTTCTTTCTCAAAGGAGAACCAAGTTTGCAACTGAATGCAAGTCCAACTAAAATTCACTCTAGACGGATGTTGCTGTCACGTGCTCACCTTAAGTAGCTATTTAGCTTAGCTAGTTGCCAACCAGGCTGCGTGCTGCTGTGATAAAAAATACGATTATGGGCTTAGTTGTTAATATTAATCAGTTTCAGAAACTAGCAGCAAATGGAGCAGTAGTGGCAGGCCATTTTGACATTTATTAGAAGTGCCTTCCTTTCTTATGTTCCATTTGTTGATCTCTAAAATAAGATTCTTCCTCGTCAAAACTACATCCCTACTAGTCAGAACTATATATATATAGATATTCTTAATTACATTTTTACCAGCAAAAAATTTATTTCAGGATGCAAAAAAATATAATTGTACTAGTGAGAATAAACTTTCAGATACCTAGAAATCTTTACAAATTTTGAGTGGCCAACATTTATTAGCTTGACTGAATATATATTTCAGATGTCTCAAATGCGTTTCTTCCTAGTCATAATGAACATTTCAGATATTTACAATAATTTTTTTCCTATCTAAAATATACATTTCAGATATCGTAAATCTAATTCTTACTAGTATAAATGACGTCACATTTCCCATTCATGTGTATTTGGCTTTTACTTCTGTATATTTAAAATAACATTGTTCCTAGCTCAATAATAGTGTGACTACTAGTCAAAATTTGAATTTCAGATATCAAAAAACAAATAACATTCTAGATATCCAGAAATTTAATTATTGTCAAGTCATCACAGTTTGTGGTGTTGTGGAGCAATATTGAATATTATATAGTGAAATAATAACACAGTGCAACGCCACATAAATGGGAATATCTTCATTATCAGAGGGACTATAGAGCAGCGTCAAGTAGCCATGAGCGCACAATGCCTGTGTTGGCAGGTAGGATTACTCATTAAGTGAATATTAAATTGACCTAATTATGAGTATGGTTCAGTTTTGTATGCTCAGAAGTATGTCTATTTTTTTTTTAAATGTTACTTGGTGTCAGAAGCAAAACTAGATAGTGATGATGGGTTTCTTCTGTTAGAATGGAAGACACAGGTGCTGTTACAATGTGTGAACAAACAAGGACAAGCTCTGAATGCTTTATATGCCAAAGCCATAGAAGTGACCGGTTATATTTTTTAGCACTAAAAGTGAATAATAAAAACATGAAACCCACAGATGCAAAATAATATTATGAAATATGAAATACATAAAAATAATAGGCCTTAATATATTTTATTAGGTTAAGTTGAAATATTAACATTTTTAGTAATTTTATTTCACTTTTTTCACAGAATGTTGACTGTGAATTAGTTGAAAAGGATATGCTATGATGAATAATGTTGGGAAATGTTTGAATAAATATGCATTGTGAAGCAACCCCAACGTGTGCTGAATTAGAAGTAAATTAACAAAAATACACTAAATTAAAAGACTTTACAGAACAGTTTTCCAGTTTGATGTAGAAGATTTACCCTCCATGTTTACAATTACACAGTTTTTAATAATAATAGGTTATTATCTTAAGTGGGCCTGTCTGAGGCATGAAACCCCAGGACTAAAAATTAGTCCCACTCCGGCCACAAATGTATACAGTATTAACAGTCATAATCCTTGTAGAGAATACTTGTAAATGTCAAGAGCACCTTATTTATAAAACTTTTAAACACATTTTCTCTCAAATTATGAAACGGTGTCAGACAAGTAGTCCCATAGCATTCTGGCATCAGCATTGAGTAACATATAGCAGATTAGACATGATATAAGGACTTTATTCATTGCTAATGGTAGCTTGTTAAGTGAAAGACTTACGTTTTCTGTAGTAGGTTCAGTTTGAACCTGGACCTCAAGTGTAACACCAGTTTGTTTGGAAGCAACCAGGACCACTTCAGTGAGTCTGGTCAAATTATTTTGTCTCCAAAGGGAAACAAACTTGTCTTAATTTGTTCTGCATTAAATATTACATTTTCTGGCTGTTTTATTTTTGAAATATTTATTAATTACACAACAGATATTCTTAATATGCCAACAAGGTTGATCTTTCTTAAAGTGATGTCTATGCAAGACAGGTAAAAAATAGTTACAAGTAGGATAACGGATGTATTTCCTGTTCTTTTCAAACAGCAATCCCTCTTGGATGCAATAGGATTCACAGATATCTGAGGAAGATTCAGCTCAGCAGCACTCACACATAAATGGCACATAATCCAATCTGAGCATTAAGATTTTTCTATCTAGAGAGCTCAGCATTGGTTTGTGTTATCTTTAAGGGAAACATTATGACACTGGCATCACTGTAGACGGTAAATGTCTTAACAACCATTACCTGGAGGCAAATGTCTTCAATTTCAAACTCACAGTTAATCAATGTTTCATATGCAGTATATCTAGACCACAATGCAGCTGATGTCGCAACATTTAAAAGCAGAAATACATTTGTAACGCAGATGGTTTAAGAATAAAGCAAAATGGCATTCTTACCACGTGAACTTCAGGCACATTGGATGAAATGCTACTGAAGTCTTCTGTGTTTAGCATTTCAAAGTCTGATTCTTCAGCAGCAATAGGAACGGTCACAGTCAGACTTGGGTTATGTATGAAAGAAAGGATGGAATCATCGCTCTTACTGTTGACTATGTACTTGTCCCCACTTTTGTCCACTCCAGTAACTTCCCCATTGCCATTTTTAGGGATGTCTTTAATAGTATGATTTGGGATACCGTTGTGCCCAAATGGTTTTTCCTCACTTGTTTTTATTTCTCTGACGTACAAACTATTGTAACATCTTGAACACTTGAACTTGATGTAAGCTGTAGCTCTGTGTATCCGATCAAATGCAATCTGCAAATTGTTGACCTCCTGATCATCATCCCCAGACTTCATCAGATTATCTGCACTGAATGAGCTCAGCAAGAGGGCAAGGAACAAGTTCAGCACCTGTAAGTGGATGACATAACATATACAAGAATTGATCTTGACTTAGTTACTTGTAGATAATAATGGAGACACATTTAAATCTGTGAAGTGCATTCTTGTTAATTAATTACAGAAAGTATTTTCACAAAAACAATTTGGATGATGGGGAATGAAATGGCAATAAAAGATGCAATGTACCACAAGATTTCCAATAACCATGACCATCATGTAGAGAGTGAGACACTGGTATTGCCCTGCGACTCTCATACAGTCCCACATGGTTTCAATCCATTCTCCACAAAGCACTCGGAACACAATGAGGAATGAATGGAAGAAGTCATTCATGTGCCAACGAGGCAGTCTGCAGTCGTCAGAGATTTTACAAACACAATCCTTATAGTATTTTCCAAACAGCTGCATGCCCACAACAGCAAAGATGAAAACAATGATTGCCAGCACCAGGGTCAGGTTGCCCAGAGCTCCGACGGAATTACCAATTATTTTGATGAGTTTATTGAGAGTGGGCCAGGACTTAGCCAACTTGAACACTCTCAGCTGTGAAAACAGAAAAATAGGAATGTTAGAGCACACTATAGTCAACATAAATAGAAACTCATTTGAATTACTACATTCTGTTAAATATATTTAGAATTATTTCCATCCAACCAAAAATACTCGATTCAAGGAAATGACAAACAATAATGATGATAATTAAACAAAAAATAAATACCTATCATTCAAAAACAAAACAAACACAACTCTAGCTCTTTTCATTTATATTTGAGTTAAAACTATCAAGTTACCTCTCAATAATTAGTAAAAAAAAAATTTTTGTCATTACAGCAAACAAACCATCTTTACTGTTGCTGACCAGCGTTTCCCATGTTACGCTTTTTGTAGTTTATACGTTTTTCTTCAGTGATTAGTGCCAAGCATTTGAGACTGGAAGGCATCTTTGCCAACATCCTCATCTCTCACTCCCTTAAAGATTACGTCAGAAACTCATGGGTTAAATTTCAGACTTTGGCTAGAATATTTTAAATAGCTAATATTACTTTCATTAAAAAGCCACACATTGGGGAAACAAATCAGATGGAGAACACTCCAACTTAATTGAGGAAAAGCCTACTCCTGACTAGGTTAGCTCTTGGGAAAATGTTAGTGTTGTAAGAAACACAGAGGTTGAGTCAATTTTCATTAAGACTGCTTTGTCATATGGCCCTCTGGCAGTGTTGTAGTACTCGAGATCGGTCTTGGTCTCAAGACCTGTCTCGAGACCATTTTTTGATGGTCTTGGTCTCGTCTCGGACTTGACCGCATTTGGTCTCGGTCTTGTCTCGGTCTCGGGCGCTGAGGACTCGGCATTTTATTTCAAGACCGGTCAAGACCACAACTGTAGAAATAACGCTAATCATCAGAATATTATCAGTTTCTTTAAGATTCTTCTTTTTATTGGATGCTTGGATTCAAATCTAAGCAATAACCTGTCTCATTGGTACTGTAAATGCATTTTTTTTTTTTTACCGCTGTCACGCCCAACCCCTTTCAGCTGCAGCACTTCGATTGAAAGTCAAGTTCCCAGTGCTAACTAGAGAAATACACTGTTTGGTCAAAAACAAACCATCTGATTTAGCAACAGTGTCTTAGAACTGACAGAAGTCAGTCAGGCTTTTGTGCACGTATTTCAGTGGGGTTTGTATTTCTGCAGATGTCAGTAGTAGCTCAGGGAGGAAGTGAAGGAGATCAATCTATTTTTTTCAACAAATGAGTCTCTTTTACGCCACTAACATGATCTCTGTCTGACCTCAGTGGTTCCTATCCTTGAGACTGGAGTTTCCATGCTAAAATGCTGCACTCTTGTTATAAATTAAATGCTAAAGACTCCTCTGTGTCTAGCTGAATTGTCGGTCCAAAGGAGCAGTTCGTTACTCTTGTTATGGTTGTTATAGTGTTATTGTTGACTGTGTTATCTTGCCTATTATTTGAAGTCTATGTAATTTTGTGTACTTTGTTATTTTATGATTTTCTTTTATTAAGTTATATTTTTCTACTTTTGTTACAGAGAATTTGATCACTCTTTTGTATGTCAGTATATTTTACTGCATTGAAGAAAATCTGCATAACAAAATCAGATTCCAGTGAAGCATTCAGCAAGAGGGTGTCAGGGAAATGTATATATTTGAAAGAAATTAAAATATGCTTAAAGTGCACAAAATGCATTGCCTTTAAAAAGTCAAAGAACAATAGAGGTGTATATCACCAGCTCTATCATGATACAATGTTATATAAATTTTTTTGAATAATGATGCAAGGCTTGCTGAAATCCAAATGTCAGTCACTTTTCACTCAGTTCTATTCATAAGTCAATATAATATGTCATCTGCCAGGCTAACATAGTAATTTCCATTCATATAAACTCAAAAGAGACCAAACCAAATATGATTGAACATGTTACTACTAAGCTTCTTCAGGCATTAAAATAAACAGCCTTCATGAAATTATAAATATAATTGCCTTACTAGTCTATCATTTTGTTAACCTTGAAATAATGGTTTACATTAAAGATGATGATGTGCATTGATTCTTTAATTTGGTGTTAATGTAATTCGATCATGTATCCGTAGTGTTCCACCTCTAATGTAAAAAAAAAAATAATAATATTGTGATTTGAATATGACCAAAATAGTTCTAAATTATTCATAAAAAAAGTGCACTTCTAATAAATACTTACCAGTCTGAACGATCTTAGAATGGACATGCCTTTCACTGATTGCAGAAGAACTTCTGCCAAGCTTAAGCAGACAATGACTGCATCAAAAATATTCCATCGCACTTGAAAGTAATAGTATGGGTCCAATGCAATTATCTTGAGTACCATTTCTACTGTAAAGATGGCTGTGAACACCTTACCAAACATAATAACAAGGAGATAATTGAAATACAATAAAATAAAATATAAATATGTTTAAAAATTTCTCAAAAGTCTACATAATTGCTTACCTGGTTGCCCACACGCAGCATATCTTTGAACCAAGCAGTCATTTTATAATACTCCATGGCCATGAATAATGTGTTTAATACAATGCAGATGGTGATAGCTAGGTCCATGAATGGGTCCATCACAATAATTTTGACTTTTTCTTTGATCTTCAACCAAAGTGGGCAACTGTCCCAGATGAGAAATTTGTGGGCAAATTTGTACCAGCAAGGAGGACATTTCTGCCTTGATTCTTCCAGTTCTAATGGCAAAACAATACAAAGTATTTTATTTAAAGTTGACATTCTTTTCAGACCAGAGAATAAAGAACAGTACGATGACATTAATTGGTCTTCAATTCTTTCAACTATAAAAAAACGAAAATATCTAAAAAGTCTCCCTTTGCAGTCAAATGAGTAAAATATTTTCTTTATCACCTTTGAGTTTTAAAGATAGAGAAATTGTGGCCAATCTTCTTTGAAAAACATATCAGGCTCAGTTAGACAAACAAGCTTCATTGAAATTTAATGTACAAATCTTGCAAAGGAATACTTGTACGTTTAGACTCAATTGGATATTAAACACCAAAAACTTAAGCTTAAAGATTCCAAGGCTGCTATATTGACTGGGTGAACTTTATTGTTATAGCCTTTAAATGTTTTTTTTTCCCCAAAATGCTTAATTTAGCTCCATCCACTTTTCCATCAGCTGAGTAAAAAATCCTATGTACAGATGCACTGCACAATTATAAGTATTTAATTGTAAAAAAAAAAAAAAAAAATAAGCCAATAAAAATATATATTTACCCTGAACAAAATACTGTTGTTTGCAACCAAGAAGGATGTCTCAACAAGAAAATGTTAATTTTAAAATATAAAAATAAAATAACTAAAAATAACTATATAAAGATGGAAAAAAAAAACATTTTTAACTAATTTTTATCCTATAATAAAAAATATAAAAAATAAACTGTAATGTTTCCCCCAAAGACTTGCTCTATTTCAAGTGGACCACTGGGTTGTCAACCCTAAAACTTTAATCCCATTGAAATTTAAAGAAGCATGTTAATAAAATCAAAATATTTCTATGAGCTTACATTTACCAATAGAATGATTAAGTTTTAGACCCAGGCTAGGAGTGTTTTTGAAAGAAATATTTGTATGAAATAAGGGTTTAAATGACATACCTTCAATGGTGGTTGTGATGACGCTGGCTATACTTAATGCTCTCTGTCTCATCTGATGGCTGTCAGGTAGGTCCAAACACTCACTGTAGTTTTCAATGCTGCCCAGTTTGTAGTCTGTGTCTGTCATCTCAGGCTTAACAGAGAAATGTTTATTAATTCAGCTTTTTTTGCAAAGAGTAAGTTGTAACTATAAATATCAGTTTTGGAACCTCATATATCTATATAAGTAATTTTGCAATAAAGCTGTTCACAGGGCTTTGCATGAATAAACTCAATCAGAAAGACAGATCCGAGCTGATCTTAATTTTTTAGCTTATATCCAGCAGTTTGAACTAATGATCATAAAATATAGGCAAAACTTTACGCTAAAAAAAAACATACTTAATGACTATAAAAAGTTAGAGGTACACCAAAATATTTATTAAGAACTACATCTGTTTGTCATAGCTGTGAGCCTTGTGAAATGTTATCGTTTATACTTAATTTTTCACAGAACAGGTACAAGATTTTAGGGGGATGTGTCATGTGTGTTATGTTTTTTTCATTTTTGTAGACACAATGTGATCTGCTGTCTACCAGAAAACAACATCGGATTGCCTTTAGAGTTTCTCACCGCTTAGCCTACAGCGACCATAGGAGCTGCAAATCAACCCCTCCATGCCTCAACAAGTTTCACACCTTCGGTCAATGTGGCGCATTACCACTACAGGCAAATATGTACTAAATATTACTTTTTTTAAGAGTCAAGTGGCCAGGCTTGGCTCTTTGGAACAAGTGGGAATGTTCAATTCTGGCTCAAATCTGATTTTCCTGATATGCTCCTAAACCCAACATTAATTATTGTCTTAACAAAAGGCTCTCAAGCAACTGCTTTACGACAGCTACAAAACAAGGAGAAAAACTATCTGCATTCCCAAAACATTTAATTGGTAACTCCACATTTTTTATTAAGTCATCCTTGAACACTGACTCAATTAAATTTTTCAATTCAGTTTATTTATATAGCGCCAATTCACAACACACGTCATCTCGAGGCACTTTACAGTTCACCAAATCATACAGTCAAATTGATTCAAAGTTTTCTATCTAAGGAAAACTAGTTGATTGCATATGCTGATGAAGGTTCTCAGTCATCCAGGTCAAAGTCATTCCGTAAAAATTCAAAAAATATCCACTGGACTTGGTTTTCAAGATTTGAAGACGTTTCGCCACCTCTCCAGGAAGCTTTCTCAATATTTGAATTGAGAAAGCTTCCTGGAGAGGTGGCGAAACGTCTTCAAATCTTGAAAACCAAGTCCAGTGGATATTTTTTGAATTTTTACGGAATAGTTGATTGCATCGACTCATTGACTCGATTGCAATCCCTCACACTAAGAATGCTTGTAGCGACAGTGGAGATGAAAAACTCATTTAACAGGAAGAAACCTCCAGCAGAACCAGGCTCAGTGTGAGCGGCCATCTGCCGAGGCCGGCTGGGGTTCAAGGAGACAGAAGCAGAGTTTCTTAAAAATAACAACATAAGATAAAAAGAAGATGCTTGAAACATTTTAAAACTAGATTATAACAAAAAAAAACTCTAATTTTAACAATACTGTTGGCTTGTATTATTTTTTTACTCTTTACGTGTTCACACAAAACGTGATTCTTGCAGCATAATCCCCCTATTCATTTGCTGAATGAATCACCTGACATAATGCCAGTAATTCGCAAGAAGGGTGACAGCAATTTGCATAGCAAGCTACAACATTCACAGCTGTCAATTCACTGTGTCACCAAATAGAAGGAATTTACATCTTCTGCTTACAATTTTCAATTTAGCATGGGGGAACTGGATTTCTTAAAGTGAAAGAGGGTGCTTAAGGGTGCCGGCCTATGGTCTACAAGATTCCCCAGAGTTGCTACCCATTCGGGGAGTCCAGGATCTAACTGTGCTTGATGACAATCACTTCCGCAGTGCTTCTGTCAGACTAGGAGCCACAAAATATTCTGCTTCAGAGAAGGATAGCTCAGGAAGGTTGGGCTGTGTTCTAGAGCTCAGAGAGGATTAGTGGGAGATGAAAGCGAGAATCCCGGCAAAGTGTGCACCAGAGGTGGCTGCTGGTGTCGGGCCCTACTCTAAAGCCAATGGAGTTGACAGTGGGAGACCAGAAAAGGACAGTGAGAGATTGGAAGGAAGACACTCAGCAGAGGCAGTTGGGAATCCCCTGCTCTAGAGCTACAAGAGGAGGATGAATGATTCAACAGTCCTTTTAAGGGCTTTATTAAGATGGATTTTTTTAAGCCCCACACAAACCCCTCAGTAGCATTCCTTACTAGCACCTATGTTGACAATAATTTTTTGACATTCCATTTCGATAAATAAAAAAATATTTTTCTCCACTGCGCTCCTTCACTCAATATGCCACAGCCTCGTCCAGTCCCTGACTGGTTGCCAAGAGAAGAAATAGAAGTTCAGCGACTGTGTTAATGCACCTTTTACTCTGTTGGCATGACTTGCTCTTTAAATGACCATTTCTAATAGCTAATTCTACAGTATGTTAAATAAATAACCATTAACTCCACATAACCAATTAGTAGCACCACATTAATTATAATATTTTATACCATAGCAATCTGAAAACATGGCGGGAGTAGAATGATGCTTTAGATTCTGTTTTATTATGTCTCTGTAGTGTTTCTTTCCTGGTCCATGCTCAGCCTGCTGTGCACCAATGTAAACAGACACCTACATCCCAACATATACCATTTTCCTTTTACTCATCCCTGCCAATCATGTGGTATACAGAAAAGTATTTGCCTAGTCCAATTCTTGTCTATGTTTTTTTAAACAATTTCTTCTGAGGGTTTGGTAAGGTACCTGGTGAAACGCAGGTGCAGAGAGCAGTGCAGGCATGTAAAACTTAGGCAAGAAAATTAAATGCAATGAACACATAGTCGGACAGTTTGGAAAATAATATGGGTCATCTTGGCTATGAAAATATTTCTTACATGGTTTCCAGAGGAGCCCATATCTACTGTCAGATTAGGTGGTAGAAGCACTGCAGGTAGCGATGTTGGAAGTGGATTCTGATCCACCAGAGACACAACCCCATTACAGTCAATAGAACTGCACCTGATCCCATAGGGTTGAAACCGAAGATGAGGTAAGAAGCCGAACTGGCTCACACTGCTGCTGTGTCTATCACGTCTCGAAGCATCTATCAGGGATTCCCTCCGACTCAGCTTCCCTTCAAAAATGCTGTTTTCATCATCTGCAAACTCGTTTTCCGAAGCACCATCTTGTGTTTGGAGACTGAAAAGGCTGGCTTTGCTGTTTCTTCTGGATGAGAGCAGGGGCCCACGGAAACTCAGAAAGGACTAAGAGAAAAAGATATTCTCCAGTGGATTGATAATAAATGTTGATGTGTAGAATAAAAAAATGTTCAAGACATTAAAGTATATAGTAGCATATTTCCTGATGACAAAAATGCATGATGGACAAATGAAAAAAAATGTAGTCTTTTTAGAAGGTCATAATTATATGGAATTTTAAGATGGAAAATCTTAAGTAAATAATTTCAATTCCGATGGATAATGACAAGAACATAGGTTGAGGAAGAAAAAAATTGAGAGAAAAATGATGATGATGATGATGATGATGATGATATTAAAAGCAATGACAGAGATTATTAAGAAAGATGATGATATGATGATGAAGATGATTATCAAGATAAGCAAGTGATGGCAAAATCAGTTTCTTCATGGTAAGAAGCATAAATAAGTGTGCCGTCAAACATGAGGACATTTTTCCATTCAGGCATCAATCTAAACGGTTTCAAAACACAAAACTGTCCGTAACTGTAATTGCTTTGTCCTTAGTCTAAAAAAAACATTTGTATAAAGACTAGTGGTTAGATTCACTGAGAAAAATAAAATATCTACATGTATTTATGTTATTATTTTACTAAAAATTATGCTAGAACTTATTATCCAATGTATACATTCTAAATTTGACTGTGTATTGATATATACAGTATATAAATCTATATATATATCTATATATATATACTGTATATATATATAGATATATATATATCAAAAACGTAAATTTAAAGTTTAAACCAGGGCTCTTCAACATTTTCCAGGCTAAGGACCCCCAAACTGATGGCGAGAGGGAGCGGGGACCCCCTAATTATATATATTGTATAAAGTTGTGTTATATCAAACTGGGCCTATAGTCACTCTATCAAAAATGGAATTATGTAATGTAAGTCATTTCGCCATGGGATTATTCTGATTCTGATTCCTGGTTGATGGGACAGGTGTTGTGAATGAAATGGTGCCCAGGTTTGAAAGAGCTCCTGTGTGTCGCTGAATGTGTGCATTGATGACTGAAAGACTACAGTGTGTTGAATTCATGTTAATGTGTATTTTAACATTTCAATTAGTGGAAAAAATTGCAGGGGGGAATATAAAAAAAAAAGTCAAATCAACCAAAACTTTCGCGACCCCCTGTTGAAGACCTCCGGTTTAAACTAATCTGATATTAAAAATTTCTCTGCTTAAATTAAAAATACTTTTCTAAAAAGAGAGACAAAAAAAAAAAAAAAACAATGAGAAAGGTTAAAATGCAGATAATACAGACTTTGAAATGTAAAATAACTTTTAGAGCAAACAACAAATGGTACTCCACCTGGTGTGTAGATGAACATTTCATGTCATAGTTGAGTGGGTAAGCATCTGCAGAGAAGTGGAAATGAGTTGGTGTTAAACTTTCAAAGGAATCTGAATGAGATATCTTCCTGGCTCCTCTTTCTTCCTCCTCTTTTCTCTTTTTTCGCCGGTTGCGCCGTTCTTTGATGCTTTTGGAGTTCAGCTTAGAAGCCTCTGAGGAACTTTCAGTTCCACCCCCTTTACTCAAGGCCTCTCCGTTGACTTTTGCAGCTGCTATTGCCAATGCCTTGATAAGAAAAGGCAGGTCAGTTAGAGTAAACAGATGATAGTAAATGTATGTGTCAACACAGAAGATCTTCATTGTATGACTTGATTTTGGTTAACCAACAAATTGTACTGTGCCACAATAATTCCCCACCAGGTCTATATGAATCCTAACTGAAACCAACAAAAAAAAAAGATTTATGCTAGCAATACGCCATTACCTAAAAGTGAATCCTGAGCCAAAACAGGAATACATACATTCTAAAAGGTCAACAATGTTGCATGGACAAATTCATTATTAGTCAGAAATGTACAGTACATACACTAATTTCAGGCATAAACATTTTTTTTTAACACTTCTTTATACTACCTAAGATAACCATATAGCAAACAACTTCAACCACCTTTGGTGAAGCTGTTTGAACTTGGCAACAGTCAATTTTTCCCCCCTGCAATACTAAACACATATTGTGGTTCTTGTCATGATCTACACCTATTTTGTGTTCAGATTCATTGCACTCATCTAATTTTCATGTAGTCTTTCACTATTCACTGTTATTTAAAGGAGTCCTAACCTGGTATTTACATATACAATTCTTAAGAAAATGTCTATAAATGCATGTTTAAAGGTGCAAGGCCAATGGTTAAGCTCATTCTTTGCAAAAGAGCTCATTGTTGTTGCTCAGAATAAGATTTGAATAACCAGACTACCTACACTAAAATGCAACAGGGAAAATGTTAAGACTAACAAATTTAAGAATATGTTTTCTAAAAATATCGCATAAAGCTGCATTAAATAGTACACCATCTAAATATGGCCACGTACCAGTTTTCCAATTGATCACATGCCATAACCAAAAATATTTTCTATACACTATTGTACCATTTTTATAGAAATCCATTTTCAAGTTTCAAAATGTATTTTCATGCTTTGCTGATTAGCAATTAAATATTATAAAAATATATGGAGGGAGCGTTTACACCTTTGGAAACAGACCTTTTAGAGGCCAAGTCGATAATTTTAACCCCTGAGATGTGGTACCACTTGTAGTAAAATTGACGCTCTGACTGTTACCTTGATTGAAGTCTGACTCGCCATTGGCAGAGGATTAATTTATCCGTTTATTGCTCATGTTTATAGCATAAGTCTATACAGAATTAAACATCATGTAAACACAAACCAACATGAACACCTGGAACATGGAACCTTGTTATCTCAGAGGTCAAAGGTTGTTTCCCCCTTACAGTTGGAACACCTAATCCAACAGAGAATGGTTCCTACCATATGAAGTGAGGGCCACTTATCACCCCAGTGATCCAATACAACACTTAAATACAAATATTCATTTATTTCCTTACAAACCTGATGACAAAAATAAAAAAATCTTCAACAGTACCTGAGCATCCTCTTGCTGACATTTTAGCTGCTCGATAGCTGCATTATATTCATCCTCCTTCTCCTGAGCTTTTTTTATGTTGAGCTGGCACTGCTCCTCATAGGCCATAGCCACTACAGCCAAAATCAAGTTTATCAAATAGAAGGAACCAAGGAATATAACCAAGACAAAAAAGATCATGTAGGGCTTCCCAGCTGCTCGCAGTGTCTGTAAATACAAAAGATGAAATTAACTTTTGTTCGGCGACTTATACTTTAGAGGAGCCAGGCTATGAGTATAGAAAGCTGTACTTTATAAATTACTATTCTAGTGGCTTATACTGGTTGCACAGAAAGGCTTTCTAAATAAGTGTTGGCATTCTGTTAGTCTATTGTATTAATTTTTGTTATACATTTTGTTTTTGCGCAACTGTAATCAAAGGACTATCATCTGCTAATAGCCTTATATCCTCTTATAGCCTTTATTGTTTGTGTTTACAATTCTATTCTTAATCTCCTGTGACAACTACTTCCTTCACTTTCTCTGGTCCATGTTGAGTGTCATACACACCATGTCACAAAACCGCACAGTAACAACCTGTGACCCTGTATATAGGCCCACTGATTGATTAAAAGATTGTAGACACCTGTGATGTTTACGGTAATAGGGGATAAACACCTTGATTTAACATGTCCCTTTTTCACATTATTTTCAGTATTTTCTAGGGCAAACATTTGTCTGGGCGTTTTTCATTAGTTTTTTCTTTTTTAAATAATCTGTTGAAGCATGGTTGAAAAGAAATGTCTGACTGCCATTTTTATAGAAATATTTTTAAATTATGACTTTGTTATTTGTGTTTCCGTTGTGGGTTACTTTTTCTGGATCCAGGAAAGTGACTTATCAATATTTTAATTGGTCTTTCAACAGAATGATAAACTGGTCTAGCGTTGTTTTTAAATTATAATATTATTCTGTTCACCCAACTGCAAAAACATTACCAATCACAGAGACTAAAGTGCTTAAATACTACTGCTTTTATTTTGTTTTTCACAGAAGATACATTTCAACTTGTTTTCCTTTACTTTTAAATAAAATTTGACTCTAATAAATAATATAATAATATATGAACCTGGTGATAATGAAAAACGGCTAGTGTCCCAGGTAATGTTACCTCCATGTATGGGACCTTTTATTTGTTTGCATTTGCTTATTGTTATCACTGTATGAAGCTCATCAATTTGGTCTCCAAGCATTGTTTCGAAAAACCTTTCAAGATCTATTTGCCTGACTGCACACCGGGCCTTCCAACATGCACCTGTGCTGCTTCTTTGTGTTTCTTAAGAGAAAAAAAATATACACACACACATATATATATATATATATATATATCTATATATATC